GAATCAAGATGGCACGTTTTAGTCACCTTCCCGGGAATTCGGAAGTTAATAATACACAAGGTGTTGTGACTTGATGGTCCATTAGTTATCACGTAATCTATTCGCCAATCAAAATACGACTTATTCGCTCTTATACTGTTCTAAACCAATGACGTCTGACCGGTCTGATCAGCCTAGCGTCCTATTGGTCCGTTGCTCGCCTAGCCCGTCCAATTGAGTCCAGAATGCCAACAACAACCTCCACTATGTGAATCATATATTTCAAACATATGGGGTTTATATATCAACCAAACAGACAGCAACGCACCATAAAATAGGAAATAACATTCGTACAAAATATAGCCAAAAGTGGCTATGAACGTGGGAGACAGTAATTAATAAACTGAGTATAACTTAGGAACAGTAAGTCGTACAATAATAATCCATAGGTCAAAACGAAGCTAATAATAAGAGAAATATAGATATACACAGTCTAGTTACTGAATATTTCTACCATAAGAATATATAAGTAATTTTAGTCCAGTAATAGGTCTCAGAAGTTACTCGTAATGTAATCTTCACTAGGATATAACACAAGGTATGTCCCATAAATAACTTGGTGGAGAAGAAATTTATTTAGCGTTTCAGTGACTAAGATTTGACAATAAAACATATGTTATTTCATAAAACAGCAAAACGAACAGTATGAGAGCAAAAGTACATGAAACTCTAACTCATTATGCTGTATATTCTACCCTAAACACAATAATATGGTAAGAATCAGTTCCGTTTATTTGTTCAGAGTAAACTCCCAACTAAATCACCATTAATTCAATGAGTAGCTAGAGGGTTTGTTTGCACAATTTACTGAAAAAGTTATAAGTTTCAATGTGTTTTTAGGTAGGTGTCTAGTAACGTTTCTTCTTCGACATTTTAAGGAAACTGAGCACTGATACTTTGAATAGAAAAAGTAGTTTACTTTAGGAGAACAAAAAAGACTACATACCTCAGAAGGCTTATAAACCGTGTAAAACTATTACACATTTAATTAATTGTTTATCTTTCTCAGTAATAAACTTTTGATTTTGACGGTGAACATATAGTGTTAGCCCTACATGTTACCTAATGAGAGCTAGTAGAAGATATAGAAAACCACTTGATAATATTAAATAAAATATTGCTATATTAGGTCAATATTAGTTATCGAAATCCTTATAAGAGGCCTAGGCTCCTCCACGAATGGTAACAGACGTAAGTAAGTAATTAATTATCGAAATAACTTCCTGGATGGGGTCCTGCATAATGTAACTATTACTGGCTTGTAACGTTATCATAAATGGTTTAGAATGAACATAAGTATATCAGTGTTCTTGCAATTTATTTCTCAGTAAGGTGTGACTTAAAAAGAATAAAATATATCTTAGCTGTATTCTAAAGTGGATTGTATTTGTTAATGTTTTTATTCTTGTTATGGTTCATAGTCACTTTAATATTGTCTATCATTAGCCACTTGCCATTAGTTAAGTGAATATACAATTGATGCCTTAAACAGGTTTCGTAAAAAAGATCGTATTAACTTTGAACTCAGAAAGTGTAGCAATTGAGTGTAAGTTGATAAGAAAATTGATCAGATATCTAAGATTACATTATTCGTGTTATGCCCAGACGAAGTATAAGTGAATGGTAACTGTTAGGATCTATTTATGAACTGTTTTTATATATATTCTTATTGCATAACTATTAAGTAACTGTATTATATGTATATTCATATTCCTTTCATTATAAGCTTCCATTTGACCTACTGACTATTATTATTCGATTTACTATTCTCAAGTTATTCACTAATTTATTAGTTACAGTATCTCACATTCACAGCCATTTTTGGCCTGATCTTGTATAATTTTTATTTTATATTTTATGGTATGATGTGGTCTGATTTGCTTGTATATAATCTGAGTGTGTCTGAAATATAGGATTCATATGACGGAGGTTGATATTGGTGTTTTGGACTGAACCAGAAGCTCCTATCTTAAAGGACCAATAAGAACTCAGATTTGACTATAGGCTGCTCATACTGGTTTATGCGTCATTGGTCTGTGTTCCAAATTGGCGATCTTATAACATGATAAATTAACAGGCCATAACGAAATAACAATTAGTACATCTTTGATAGTCGATGAACGTTCCCAACCATTAGTTATTCTTTTACTAAACATGCACCAAAACACAACTTACACTCTATCAGAATAAATATATTTTACATCCTTTGTAGGACTTTTCTCGAGACAACTTTAATGTTACTGTGACGTTTGTACGAGGTTATCCTTAGTGTAATATTCGCTTATTAATAACTTATTCCATCGGACCGATCCATAGTTTGTATTTTATTGACAGATTGAAAGTTGTTCTTCTATTTATTGATGAACGCAATTTATCGTTAATTATCCAATGAGCCAAATAGAACTGACCGTCTTGTTCTCTGATAGACCGTTTTTTGCTTATTTTGTTGCATAGAATGCGATTTTGTTATGCGAAATATATTTATAAGCATAAAATCGTAAACTCAAGGAAAATAAATAATCGGGAAAGGAATTCATTAAAGTTAACTTGTTGACATTGTTTAACTTAAATATATCAACTTACCGACATTTATCACAAACATCTACTTCAAATGTTTTGCGTAAAAATGATTCTTCAAACAGTTTATGGCATAAATCACAAGTTGGTTTTTCTTGATCAGGGGGAATAGGTACATTGGATTCAGCTATGAGGAGATTCGACTCAGCATTTGATTGTTTTATACACTTTTGTTTGCGTTTTTTAGGTTTAACAGTTGCATTTAATTCTGGATCTGAAAATTCTTCATCTTTTTCTGTATAAGGATAATTATGATTAGAAGTTTCCTCTTCAAAAATAAAACCTCCATCACTTAAGTATTTTGTATTCAGTTTTGATTGTGGGACTGATGCATAAACATCATGACTTGAAAAAAATAATGCAGTAACTAACACCAGTAAAGAATATATATGTTTAGTTTGTAACAGTAAAGAAATTAATATACAATAGAATAGTTAGACAACACGAATAGCTAATAAACTTATCAATCTTGATAAGTGTATTTCATTTGGTTTCATGCATAGCACTAATAGTATCATAGAAACAAAATTGTTACTAGGTAAAACACTTAAGACTGAAAATAGAACTTGGAGAACATCAATCAATTGTCATTCTAATTATTTAAAACAAATATTCTCTAAAACTGTAATAAACAGCAACTAGTAATTTAATAAATATAGGATTGCGATAGTGTATTAAGAAGACGAAGATTATCAGAACTATGTGGTATATTAACGCAATACATTTCGAACAATGTAATCACACATATACTTGTTAAGAACATTTATATATAAAAATAAAAGGTCAACTAGGCTAGAAATGCAGGGTAAGAGGAGACAAAGATAATAAATATAGGATTCTTGGAATTTTCGAGATGTTTTCAATCTTCTTGCACCGTTTCATACTTTGTATATGTGTAATAATAACAAATAATGAGAAAATAGCAGTCAATGAAAAGTTTACCGGTTATAAGAGCTGATAGGTTAAGAAAAAAGCTCTCTATATTATGGTTTATTAAGATATCTATAATACAACAATAATGAAAGATCAGTTGAACATTTTGTAGATAGATATGGAATACATATCAAACACCCCCAAATTGTTTACACGACTTTATAAAACTACATACCATGTCAGTCATGCCTAAAAAGATCATTTTATCTGTGTACTCCAAGTTTACAAAATGATTTTCATGTGATGTATGTTTAAAAAAAGTAGAGATTCACAAAAATGAAACTGCCCGTATGTTTAAAACGTATACAAACACGGATAATAATAGTGAATATACCTATTGGATTACATTGCATCATGTAACCATATATAATAAACCATTGTAATAGCTTAAACTACTAAGTACTTTGACAGTACCTTAGTTACGGGACAAATTATGACGAAAAACAATGCAAATATGTTTTTATCTACAATAACGAATTATACTCCATCTAAAAGTATGTCTCCATGTACCTATAAAAAATTTTGCTCTGGTTCTTAGAAGGGGCATCGGCCTCGTGGCTTCCGAAGGAAGCATTTAATTCTGGATCTGAAAATTCTTCATCTTTTTCTGTATAAGGATAATTATGATTAGAAGTTTCCTCTTCAAAAATAAAACCTCCATCACTTAAGTATTTTGTATTCAGTTTTGATTGTGGGACTGATGCATAAACATCATGACTTGAAAAAAATAATGCAGTAACTAACACCAGTAAAGAATATATATGTTTAGTTTGTAACAGTAAAGAAATTAATATACAATAGAATAGTTAGACAACACGAATAGCTAATAAACTTATCAATCTTGATAAGTGTATTTCATTTGGTTTCATGCATAGCACTAATAGTATCATAGAAACAAAATTGTTACTAGGTAAAACACTTAAGACTGAAAATAGAACTTGGAGAACATCAATCAATTGTCATTCTAATTATTTAAAACAAATATTCTCTAAAACTGTAATAAACAGCAACTAGTAATTTAATAAATATAGGATTGCGATAGTGTATTAAGAAGACGAAGATTATCAGAACTATGTGGTATATTAACGCAATACATTTCGAACAATGTAATCACACATATACTTGTTAAGAACATTTATATATAAAAATAAAAGGTCAACTAGGCTAGAAATGCAGGGTAAGAGGAGACAAAGATAATAAATATAGGATTCTTGGAATTTTCGAGATGTTTTCAATCTTCTTGCACCGTTTCATACTTTGTATATGTGTAATAATAACAAATAATGAGAAAATAGCAGTCAATGAAAAGTTTACCGGTTATAAGAGCTGATAGGTTAAGAAAAAAGCTCTCTATATTATGGTTTATTAAGATATCTATAATACAACAATAATGAAAGATCAGTTGAACATTTTGTAGATAGATATGGAATACATATCAAACACCCCCAAATTGTTTACACGACTTTATAAAACTACATACCATGTCAGTCATGCCTAAAAAGATCATTTTATCTGTGTACTCCAAGTTTACAAAATGATTTTCATGTGATGTATGTTTAAAAAAAGTAGAGATTCACAAAAATGAAACTGCCCGTATGTTTAAAACGTATACAAACACGGATAATAATAGTGAATATACCTATTGGATTACATTGCATCATGTAACCATATATAATAAACCATTGTAATAGCTTAAACTACTAAGTACTTTGACAGTACCTTAGTTACGGGACAAATTATGACGAAAAACAATGCAAATATGTTTTTATCTACAATAACGAATTATACTCCATCTAAAAGTATGTCTCCATGTACCTATAAAAAATTTTGCTCTGGTTCTTAGAAGGGGCATCGGCCTCGTGGCTTCCGAAGGAACTCGGCTTTCACCATGAAGCGTCATAATTCTTCTAAATGAAGACCTTCTAACTCTCAGGGCAGAGTTAAAATGGTTTGAATTATTTTTTCTGGTAAGCGTTTTTTTAGCGAGTTAGTTTTTTACGGGATGGGGACGCTAACCCCATGCCCAACCCTCCTCCTTTACCCGGGCTTGGGACCGGCAGTAACTCTAGAAGAGCTACAGGCGATGACCTAGCCCTCCTATCACGTACACACGAACAGATGCAGATGAAAACAGCCAGTGTAGCAGCAGTCTCTGCATCAGTAGGCCTCAGTATACACAAAGGGAAAACCAAGGTCCTCAAATTCAAAGCGGAGAACAGCAATCCAATCACCCTTGATGGCGAAACTCTGGAAGATGTAGAATCCTTCACATATCTGGGAAGCATCGTCGATAGACAAGGAGGTTCAGATGCAGACGTAAAGGCGAGGATTGGCAAAGCAAGGGCCGCATTCCTACAATTGGAGAACATATGGAACTCAAAACAACTTTCAACCAATATCAAAGTGAGAATCTTCAATACGAACGTCAAGGCAATTCTACTGTATGGAGCTGAAACTTGGAGAACTACAACAACTACAATCAAGAAAGTACAAGTATTTATAAATAGCTGTCTACGCAAGATACTCAACATCCATTGGCCGGATACCATCAGCAATAGCCTTCTGTGGGAGAGAACAAACCAACTTCCAGCTGAAGAGGAAATTAGGAAAAGACGATGGGAATGGATAGGACATACATTACGCAAATCGTCAAACTGCATCACGAGGCAAGCTCTAACTTGGAATCCTGAAGTGAAGCGTAAAAGAGGAAGGCCAAAGAACACATTACGTCGGATAATAGAAGCAGATATGAAAAGGATGAATTACAACTGGAAGGAGCTGGAAAGGATTGCCCAGGACAGGGTTGGATGGCGAATGCTGGTGAGCGACCTATGCTCCTTCACGAGGAGTAACAGGTGTAAGTAAGTAAGTAATTAAAAGTATGTCTATCAATCGTGAAGAGTGTCTACAAGACGTTCCATTACTCAGTTTTCGCCATATGAATTTAATAATAGTGAAGTATAACAGAATAATCATGATACATACAGAACGACCGTTGTTGCTACCTTGACGTGGTGGTCGGGCTTGCCTATCGTGATGAAGCAACCGAGCTATACTGGCTGGAACAACCGTTCCTCAAGGTCCTACCATGTCAGACAGGTCGGTTGAAGAGCGGTAAGACTAAAAGCAACAAACCCAAGGTCCGAAGGCGAAGTCGTACTGCTGACTGTACAGAGGTGTGACAGCAGTAAGGTGTTTCCTTCAGACAACCAGCATCACAGCGATGCTGCCTTCCCACAAGGAGGGGTGGGGTTAGAAAACGTCGACCCTAAAAATGCACACCTCGCCTTATCCCACGGATATCCGTCTCCGGCGGTAAGGTCTCAATAAGTACGGAGCTAACACAAAAATTACCCATAACAAGGTCGTATGTGACCGACCTCAAGCAGTTGTCCCTTGGGCACTGCGGTCACACTCTCAGGTCACTAAGACCACCTTTAATCCAAATTCCTTTTCAGGTACCCCCGGAACAACCCTTCCACGGTGTGGGCAACCGGGAAGTGAAAACCGCCCTCATACCTCTAACAGCACTCAAGACCACTGTATTCATAATCAACCTTCCTCTTCAATTCCTATTATTCCTCCTACATCGACTTTCAACTTTAAATTTCCTCTCTCGGCTTCCACCTCAAGTGTCACCATAGCCAACGATTCTAGTGCGCAAAATACTGTCCCAGGTCTACTGAAACCTCGCTCCAAACTACACATTGGAGCCTTCAACGTACGAACCCTATGTCAAATCGGTCAGCAGGCTTCCTTGGCTAAAACCCTAGAGTCTCTTACCATTGACGTGTGCTGTGTCTCCGAAACACGCATACAGGATTCCAGTGTGGTCATTCACTTGACCTCACCTCGGCAAAACGGAGAGCCAACGAGGTACACCCTTCGTGTATCTGGTGACCCGATGGCAAGTTCTCGTGGACTGGCAGGTGTAGGCATAGCACTAAGCATGAGGGCCGAACAAGCACTGCTAGAGTGGATCCCCGTCAACAGTCGTCTATGTGCTGTTCGGCTGAACGGCTACGTAAGAACTCGGAAGGATAGGAACACACGTCGTTGCCTTTTTGTCGTTTCTGCCTACGCTCCCACTGACTGCAGCTCAGATGATGTGAAAGACGAATTTTACAGAAAGCTGTCCGAACTTCTTCAGAAAGCTAAACGCTCAGACATAGTACTCGTAGCAGGTGATTTTAATGCTCAGATAGGCAGTTTAAACCAAACAGAAAGGCATTTAGGTGGATATTTTAGTATTCCGACACAGCGAACAGATAATGGTGATCGTCTGCTGCAGCTATGCTCAGACAATCGTTTATTTTTAGCAAACACAAATTTTAAGCATAAGGAGAGACATCGTCTAACATGGCGACCCCCTACACCAAACCAACGATGGACTCAAATAGACCATATTGCCATCAGTCATCGTTGGAGAGGGTCGGTAGAAGATTGTCGCTCATTCTGGAGTACCTGCTTGAACTCCGACCATGCCCTAATACGGGCACGCATCTGCTTGCGCCTCACTGGACGCAAAAAAGCCACATTAAAAAGACCCGTTAGAACTGAGTTAAGTAACGAGAAAACCAAAAGTAGGTTCCAGGAACAACTGAGGTCACTCTTAGGTAGTTGTGAAGACGAGGCTGACCCAGATGTTGCTTGGAAGGGCATACAATCAGCTGTGGAAACAGCAGTGACATCTATTAGTGACTTAAACCACAGAGTTGTAAGGAACCAGTGGATTTCTCCAAGGTCTGTCACACTGATGGATTCTCGCAAACTCGTCCCATCAGGTTCTGAACATGATGAAGAGCGAAAACAAATCAGATCTAGGTTAAGAAAAAGTCTAAGAAACGACCGTGAGCAGTGGTGGGCATCGAAAGCAAAAGAGATGGAAAAGGCGGCGACTATAGGGAACACAAAACAGCTTTACAGACTAATAAAAGAAACTGGAATTAATAAGTCAAGTGTAAGTGAGATTATATCGGAAAAAGACGATACACTCATCTGCTCCAAGTCCAGGCGTTTAGAACGATGGGCGGAACACTTTAGGGAACAGTTCAGCTGGCCTTCAGCTACTCTACAACTACCCTCCATTCCCAGACAGCGTGAATGGAACATTGAAGTAGGTCCCCCGACTCTTGCTGAAGTTCAAAAGACTATAGTTAATCTGAAACGAGGAAGGGCAGCTGGTCCAGATGGATTGGCTCCAGAGGTCTTTAAGGATGGTGGTCCAATTTTAGCGATTAAGTTGACTAATATTTTAGCTAAGATCTGGGAATTAGACTTTATCCCATCTGACTGGTCGCAATCACTTATCGTCCCAATATATAAGAAAGGGTCAAAATCATCCTGTGACAACCACAGAGGGATTAGTTTAACAAACATAGTATCTAAAATACTGGCCTCGATAATTATCAAACGCCTAACTAAGACTCGTGAACTACAAACTCGAGAGAACCAAGCTGGCTTTAGACCTGGTCATGGCTGCATCGACCACATATTCACCATTCGTCAGGTTCTAGAACACAGGCATACCTATCGGCGTCCGACGATGGTGGTATTTCTCGACTTAAAAGCAGCATTTGACTCGGTAGACCGCGAGACTCTGTGGCAGTGTCTGTCATTGAAAGGCGTACCTCAGAAGTACATAAACCTTGTGAAGGCTCTTTACTCGAACACTACTAGTCGAGTCAGGGCTTATGGCGAACTGTCATCTACTTTTGCAACTTCAAGTGGTGTCCGTCAAGGCTGTCCACTTTCTCCATTTTTGTTTAACTTCATCATAGATCTACTGATGGAAATAACTTTCTCGTCGACTGAGTTCTCGGGTATTGATCTCCATCCAGGAGGTCCACTTATCGACTTAGAATACGCAGATGACATAGTCCTGTTTGGTGAAGACGCTGACAAAATGCAGAGTCTTCTGGCAGCACTAAGCAACAATGCCAGAATGTTTGGGATGCGCTTCTCTCCCTCTAAATGCAAGTTGTTGCTTCAGGACTGGTCTGGGTCAACACCTGAACTAAGGATAGGGAGTGAAGTAGTTGAACGCGTTGACAACTTCACTTATCTTGGAAGTCTGATCAGCCCTAATGGGTTGGTGTCTGACGAAATCTCAGCACGGATTCGAAAAGCTCGTTTGGCTTTTGCCAACTTACATCATCTTTGGCGAAGGCGAGATATCCGTCTATCAATAAAAGGACGAGTATACTGCGCGGCAGTTCGTTCTGTTTTACTTTACGGCAGCGAAACATGGCCCTTAAGAGTAGAAGACACCCGTAAGTTACTAGTATTTGACCACAGATGCCTTAGAAATATTGCTGGCATCTGCTGGGATCACCGGGTAAGTAATAGTGAGGTTAGACGCAGGGTATTAGGGAATGATGGTAAATCAGTTGATGAGGTTATGAATCTTCATCGACTGAGATGGTTGGGCCACGTATTACGTATGCCTGAACACCGATTACCACGACGTGCAATGCTAACCGGTGTTGGGGATGGTTGGAAGAAAGTTAGGGGCGGCCAAACCAAAACGTGGCATCAGTGCCTGAAGTCACTAACTTCTAGTCTGAGCCATGTTGGTAGATGCAGACTACTTGGTTGGGGTCCGCGTGACTTTCGTAACCAATGGTTGGAGACTCTTGGTGACATGGCTCAGAATCGATCACAATGGCGTCGGTGTATACACTCCCTGTCTTCTTTTAAACTAAGAGACTAAAATCACTTCATTCTTTCTGTCTACGAACTAATTCTTTCTTCCTATACTATATCCTTATTGCAACCTTTGACATAACCACTCCTATGAATCCGCTGTTCATCTTGCTGTGCTAATGAGGTATGGCAACCTGGACCGATGCACATATGTGCCTGGTCCTACGTTGTAGCTGACTGACTGACTGATACAGAACGAAACATTAATCAGCTACTGGAATAGTTAAGCTTTTTTACCATCTATGGAACAATCATAAAGCCAGTTTTAAGAAATGAATTATATGCTGCTATTAGTTGCTGTATTATATATCTTTATAAAAAGCATACAATCCAGTTAGTTTGATACATACCGATCATTTGCCACAACTTGTGAAAGTCTAAGTTCTAAGGCACGTTTTCGGTTTTGTTCAATTCGTAAATGTTCTGCATCTGTAAGTTCATCCATTCAATAGTCGACTCACATGGAGGACGTATTCTAAACATGACAATAAAAGATACATTATGAGGACACAAGCAATTTAAAATAACAAAGAAATAGCTAATCGATCAAATACAGTTAGTTAGGATCCAATATGAATATATCTAGCATTTAACTAAGAATTCATGTTTCTCTTCTAAATGCCATTATCCACCTATTAAATATGTATTAATACAATGGTACAATAAACTATCGACTAATTTATTTCATATATAGTTCGATAAAAAAAACAGATTAATATGTAGTCAGTAATGGAGTATTGTAACTAACCAACGAAGGACCATAAATGAACACTATTTACCGGCTCATCATCAAATTATCATCGAAGGCCAAAAAACAAAACCAAGCTATAAAGGACTTAGTGGATGTGTAGTGGTAAAAAGTCTTGAGACAAGAAGTGCTGCTTTCATATGTCCATTAATTTAGAATGACAGACAGTCACAATTTAAACATTAAAAAACACGAAGTTCAGCGAAAGAATATCTTTACAACGAATTTATTATCAACCTGTACAATAATCATATATATATATATATATATAAAGGTGTATGTTCAAATGAATCTGCTGAAGGATAAAAATTCATATTAGAAATCAAAAACAATATAAACTGAATAAAGTTCGATAAATTAATCAGTTACATAATTATCTATTATAAGCGGTGAATTCGAACACATCACCAGCAAACTCTTTTCGCGACAAGTTGAGGATAAAACAACATTCACTGAGTAAAATTTACTTAGACTGAATCTGATATGAGATTTCATAACAAATCAATGGATCCCCTAGCTGTAAAACACAAAAGTCAATATTTAAGAACTCTTAGAATAAAGCGGTTTATGTGTAAAACCTCAATTTAGTTATCGAAGCAGTTGAAACAATATCTAATTTAGCTTATTAAAATAACTGAATAATATATTTCATCCTAAAAAAGAGAACCAAATCAGTAACTACGTAAATACCCAAATAGTCATCTTTTTGCTATACATGGTATGCCCCAACCAGAGATAAAATTTAGTGATCTAGACTGAAGTGAATGAGATTAATTTTCAGCCCGAAACCCAAAACCTTTGAATGTTTCACCCAATGAGACACTACTCAACAATTTAGAACATGATATTATTTGCGAATAACCAGTTCACTTATTTTAAGTTTAGCGTCAATCGGCTCACTCAGATTACCTAAATTAGTACTTGATTGAACAAGTAGTACCTATCTATACTTAAACAACGTACACATACATACACACAAATTTACATACATATCACTCATGAATCCCCTTGACAGAAATGACATGACATTAACTTGTTCAGACCTGTTTTTGATTGATCGAATATTATTCTTATTGTTCCGTTCTACTATTTAAACTTGGATTAATTTTACTTTGGTTAGTTATTCTCTGAAGAAGTGACTTACACCAAGTCACGAAACGTCAGAGAATCTAGTTTTCTACTCATTGGGATATTACAAATATATTATTTTTATTTATATTGAAAATTATTCACATCCCGATTCGTATAATGGTTGTCCAACAGTCGAATTTAATGGAAGGCAATTTACTTCGTTGACAAAGAATCCGAAAGCTTATGATCAATAAAAACGTAGTCTTATTCTGGCAGTAATAAAACATGGAGACCTCGACCAAAGAAGCAAGAAAGCAGGGATTAATACAAGGCAATAGTCATTTATGTTAGCAGGGTTTAATTGCGTATTGCTTTAACAGTATACAGTCCTTTATAAAATCTGAAATTCTATGAACTTAAGAAGTTACTGGTCTTCATTACTCTTCGCTATACAATCTATTACAGCAAGCTAAATTTGATGTGATACAATGCAACACCTTGATGTTGAAAGTACAGCCCTCAATCATTAGGTTATAAGTTTGATAAGCACTCTACACCACAAGCCTTTATATAATAGCTATGGTCGAAAGACGAAAATACATGAACAAGTAATTTGTTGGTGAGTTTGATCTGTGCTATACTGAGAAGTAATAGTGAACTGGGATTTTTAAGACATGCGTTTGCTCGTTAAAGATGAAAAGATTTGAACTTCCTAACATTATAGTATTTGACTATCTCGAGATATTTATAGTGCTTAGACTATTTCATGTACCTCATATGGAAACTCCGTAGTGTTTTCCATACGAAAACACATTCATACAACCTGCTCAGTATTCTGGAATACCAAATCAGTTTGCATACTTATGACAACCTTTTGTCGTCTGAATTTATTTTTGCTATAGAGTGTTAATGATCACTAACGTCGTACTGTCATATCATCTCATTCAGAATTCCAATCTGCATAACATTTATTGTCTCACATTTTATCAATTTTATTCAAAATGGTCATTTTGAAGTAACCTGGAAATTATGTTCTTTCGAAAAGTGTAGGCTTAAATTCGCTATTACTTAGCAATTTGTATCAGTCTGATCATATCTGAAAACTAGTGTTTACTCTATATAAATTCCCAGAATACATCATTGTTAACTACCAAATAAAATATACATCATAAGAAAATAAAGACAATTGATTTGCTTGTGTAACAAATGGAGACATAATTTAAATAAAAAGTTATCATAGCAATAAAGAAAATAGAATATCATCCTAACATTATTATTATTGATGAAACAACAGCAACGGTAACAGTTACTCTGTCTTTCCTATCCGTAAATATAAATATTACTACATAAGAAATTATCAAAATGATATTATGCTTTTAGAATACAGGGTATGGACGAATAAGGTATAAATAATTATAGTTAAGGTGAGTATTTTACATCAGGTAATAATACTGACGTAATATAGCGATTTTAACTAAAACAAAATGGTTTTACTACAGAATTTGTGGCTCAAATTACTGTGTGTGAGACGATTTTCAATGCTATTCAATCATTTATCCCAAAGTGGACCAGATTTAAATGTGAGACTATAGTTCCCATGAATCCAATGCCCATAAATAACTTAGATGAACAGCAGCAAACAAAAAGTGTTAAACACTAGAAAAATAGTAAGAAAACATCAAGATTACAAAACATTATATTTTACCGAAATTTCGAAATAAACTATACAAAACTTTTTAAATTAATTATTTACGAGTTATAACGTCAACACTCAATGATCGACGACTTGAAAAGTTCTTATGTGATCTTCGATTAAGTTGTATAGTATCATTATCGTGTAATAATGTAGAACGTAAAGATAATTGTTGTTGACAATCAACATATCTTTTTACTAATTTATGATATTCTCCGTCTTTATTGTCATATGTAGCAAGCAATGTTTCTAATTCCTTCACCTCTTTTTGTAAAACACAACGTGAATTAGTAAGTTCAATGCTAAGTAATAAAAAAATGAAAGAAATATGATAATATGTATTTCCAAAACGAGGAATTCTTAGCATATTATGGAAGGCATTCAATAGATTTAATTAATAAACCATTAACAATATATTTGAATTGGTAGACATGAAGACACGTTCGGTAGTTGTAAGTTTTCATGTTGAGATCTGAGAAATAATCGTAATTTATTGTTAAACATGTTCGGTTATATGACACTAAACTAATCACAAAAGGACAGTTCTATATATTCACCATTTTCTTTAATATTTTGGATTTCGTATCAGCTTATACTTTTCGTCATTGAATGAGATTTTTTTCTTTTCAACTATATTTGTTATATTTAGCTTTCCATTGAGGTAAATATTATCTCCCCCCATTACACTTTATGTTATTAATTTCCATTTTTGTTGAGCTGTTATGCGATGTGACAATCTAGAATGATATATGTTCATGCTACGTCCTACATAGTCTACGTCTAATATGTACATTATTCACGACCATTTATCAGGAGTCACATTATTACTGTTGTTATTATTACAATTATTATTGAATGAGTCTTGGAAACAAAGTTCAGGAATCCGTACACGAATTTACCATACAGTTTTATTGAAGGTTAAGGACACTAAGTTGTTGCCCGAAACCCAAGTGAATGGAGGGAAGGTACAAGCTGAAACTGGTTGTTTGGAAGTCAACTTTAAGCTATCACTTAACAAGCACTCCAAACACCGACTTATTCAAAATCAAAGTTATCCAGTAAGTTAAAACTAGATGAAGATGAATAATTTGCTCAACAGAACCACAGGAGCAAAATAATTTACTAACACACGGTACAATAAAACAAAACAAAAGCTAGACATAGGATGAGAAAAAATAGGGTGACGTAAAAATACAAAAGGACACAATATGAGGAAGATAAAAAGAATAAATGACGAAACAAACAAGAAATGACAAAGAAGCGATAATTCTTAATAGAATAAATAGGATCCTGAAATGAAAAATGTGCTTAAGGAAACAACTAAGCCAATAACTACCCGATTTGACTTAATAGTTAGAAAATTTCGAATACTTTGTACATAACAGTTGTGATTGAAACGAAAGGGATTGCGAGTCAGTGAAAGTGTAGTGGTTTATAAGCAAAAACAATGGGGTAGTGATTAGCAATAAAAAGCTAAGTAACCAAAACGATAGTCGCATGTTTATCATAGAGTAAGAACAGTTATTGTACAGATGAATTATCTGATTAGTAGGTGGTATATCTCTTGAATACATAAAAAAAGAAACACTATGTAGGTTTATAAATTAGTAACATGAACGTTAATAATGATCATGGTAATTTCGAAACTATGCTAAGGTTAAATTGGGATACATTGAACTAAATTAGCTCCTTGCAAGAAAGAAATGAGATACACAAAAGATGAAATGCAGATCATAAAATGAACTTCTAGCAACACTGTTGACCGAGTGCATTCGTCCTATGAAGGTCACGGCGAGCAAAGTTCATGTATATTTCTCTCGAATGATCCTGTTAGTTGTCATAGCTTCGTTACGTACAGATAGTACTTGTTACAAATCACACTTTCCATACCTTAATGTCGCATACGAACCCCGACAGATGAAACAGAATGGTATAGCTTATAGACTTACTAGTTCTACTTTCAGGCCAAACCGATAAATCAATAGGCTCGAGTGAATAAAGCCCTTAAAATACAACTTGAACAGAAGTCAGAATTATATATACATACAGAATGTATGATTTCAATCTCTTAATAATTATTACACCTGGAAAGCCTGATTAATCAGATGTGGACTGATTGTTATTTCTTTAAAATAAAAATGATGTAACACTGCAGTAAATATTCGTCTATCTGTCTACTCATCAAGTACTAGATTTTCGCTTCTGTTGGCTTGTTGTGTGGCTTTTTTATGGAGGTTTGATTAATCTTATCACTAATTTGTTTATCGATTGATATTAATACCTGGTAGGGTTGTAGAGTGACAAATACTGTCATGATATATAAGTAATACTTTGGTGTGTGCTACTGATGTCGAAAGATGTAAGTAGTATGTATCACCAGTCATAAGTGAAATGCCTGGCAAGAGAAGGTTAAGGAGATCGAAGAGAACGAGAACAGTGAGTTATTAGTGTGGAAACTAAGGGAGAATCAAGTCTGAGACAAATGATTGAAATTTTGCAAATGAAGCGTTTACTGTATGGTCCTCAGAGTTTATTAAGAGATTCTGTAATTTTGTGCTCAAATACATTTGGTCGTCCCCACTGGTATTCTCGTTCATTAAAATACTAATGTAATTAATAAGAATGATAGAACTTGGAAAAAAGAAGACATACTGAATTTTCTTCAGGATATCTAAAGTTTCTGAAGGTTGTGAAGTGGAATATTCAATGGATTTCTGCAAAACTTTGACGCGCAAAAGTAAGGCTTTGGCTTGTTCAGTTAAAACTGCTAATGCCTGACGACTCATTCGTGGCCAAACTACGTGTCGATATTCACGAAATAAACGGGAAGATGTATTGTATATCCTAGATATGATCTAAGAATATTCAAGTTTAAATAAAAAGTGATCTCAGATAAACATACAAAATTCAGTTGGACGTAAATAATATTCATGTTTTCTGATATTAAGAAATGATTGATACCCCACAAACAATTTCATAGTAATCTACAAAATGATTACATTACACCTACAGCAGGTGACAATAGATTGACAGCCAAGTGACATATAGAGGTATCAAAATGCATGTGATAACTCAGAAACAGAGATTATTTCCGTCGGTAGAATGTGATTACCGCGGGAGGTACGTATAGGTGAATGACAGTCCCAGTCAAAAAGAATAAGCAGAAAAAGAAACAGTACTAGTGTTGGTGGTTTTATCGGTCTAATAAATGGAAGCAATTATTCTAATGGGCTCTGTATCGATAATAATTCAGTACCATTAGAAAAAAATGCGGATTTATGACCTAATACTAAATTGGATGACAGGCGAATTGGAAATGAGCCTGTTGGCATATTTCAACTCTTGACGCGAGGTCCCAAAAAACATTGGATTCGAAGTCGAACCCAGTGTGGATGGAGTTGAAGACACTACTGTTTTCTTTGAACATATAACAGTCAAAAAACTTCTGTGTACCCGTTTTCACATTTTTTCACATCAACATTATTTATATATCTTTATAATATCATTTTAATATTAACCCACTCCCTCTTGTGTAACATGTTTTGGCATCTACATGGTCTGAATCATAGTTTAATAATAACAGTGGTTACAGTTGTAAACGTAACAATAATAACAGAAGTTTTAAGATAACAGGATATGAAAGATTCGAAAATGACTTATTTCATAAAGAATGGTGACGTGATACGAAAGTGGAAATTAATGGAGCAAATTAGGAAGAGAGGGTAGTACTTAGTTTAGCTTTCGACAAGGTACCGAATATTGATATGAGGATTAGTTTGCAAGATTTTTGGTTTTACGTTACTCGATTTTTGGTTGGATCTATGGGTATGCTGGACTTAGTGCAAAAAGTATCTAATAAAAAGTAAGTTATCCATGGTGGTTTAACTTCAATTGATTCATGATTTCAACTATTCGAAATACTAAAATCTCCACAAAACCCCTTCTGATAATAATCATCTGCTCACTAGTGACTGACTTCAACAGACATTCCTAGAGTTCTAGTGAGAAGCCGTGACCAGTGGAGTTCAACCAGGTCTGTTGTGAGATATCAGCTCACTGAAGACAATGGTGTACGGTGGAACAATTTTGTGGATTGGTTGAAGTTAGACATTAACACCGTTGGATGCCGGCTCAGTGGTCTAATGGTTAAGCGCTCGCGCGCGAGACTGATAGGTCCTGGGTTCGAATCACGCGGGGTGCGGGGTCGTGGATGCGCACTGCTGAGGAGTCCTATACTAGGACGGAACGGCCGTCCAGTGCTTCTATGTTTTCCATGGTGGTTTAGCTTCAATTGACTCATGATTTAAAATATTGAAAAAAGTAAGTCTCAAAATTACAAGAAAACTAACGATTTTAATTACATACTTCTGTGAATGATGCCTGTAACCTTCTAAGTTCTGTAGCAAGTTCAGTTTTCCTATTTCGAAGCTTTTCAACTCCAACTGAATGATTGCTTTCAGATTGATCTGAAAGAAATATATTACGAAAAAATGGTGGCTAACCTTGATTGTGGTCACCGAACAATCCCAGTCTTTCATTTAGCTTCTTTTCCATCCGTGTATGCAATATCGAAAGGATATCATCCATAATTTTATTTCCATGTTCTTCTTTACTGTAAAAACATGTTTCTTCTATTCCTTTAGAAACATGACATTCAGTCCATATCCTAGCCACTGTACAATAAAGATCACTTTCATAGCTGGTCAACAGGTTAAGTTCATATTCATATGCCAAATCAAGGATAACCTCTCTAATTAATTCATACTCAACAAGTTTGCAATAGTATCCCAGCTGATTTGAAGATATTGCCTGATGACGTTTGAAAACATTTAGGAGATTCTATGAGTACCTTATGAGTTCCATGTTGATCTGGACCATACCTTTTACATTTAAATATTTGAGACTCCGCAAAGAGTGAACTCACAAGCATTGTGGAGGTAGCCAGAATATTGAGGTACGAAAATAAGGACTTGAAAAGTCCTAAATAAATAATAAAATCAGGATTATTCCCTCCTAAAACTACATGGAAGACAAACGCATATTAGGAGTAGTACCTAATAACTTTCAGTCACATTTCCAATAAAACCCTAAAAGAAATGTTTTATGACAATACATCAATGTATTCCAAAAAAAACGATTATAAGTAATAGGCTGAAAGGGCTGTAGAAAATAATCGACCGAGTTCGGCAAGCCCAAATGGGATGGTGATATCAGTGACGGTTGCAACTATACAGCGTTTTCATCACCAACTGATATCAACTGTGATACAAAAAGGTTAGAGTTAAGTAAAAGGAGTTAAACTGGAGTTATGTATTAGGATTACGAACTAGGTTTAGGGTGTTCAACAAAAACTGATATCAGACGCAGATTTATGTATTTAAAACAGAAGATCGATGGCCTGTGTTAATCCTTTTCTACTAAGCTTCTGTGAGTGTCTATTCTATTGAATGCGTCAAGTGAAGGTGAGGACACGACTGCTTCGGGTGACAAGTAACAAAATTGAGTGAATCGATGTGAAAACCTGTTTGTGGCGGATATTCTGTTTGTCCAGTTATAATTCAATGTCGTTCTGCCACACTTTTGTGTACAAACTTAGAAAAATTGAAGCCGAGATTTAGAGTCAGTAATTAGATTGAGAGAACACGGCCTAGCAACAAAAAATCCCCGCCTATCCGTTGAATCACATCACGTACAGAAAAAATTAATCAGGAACTGGTCTCCCTTGTAAAATACAGCTACAACATAGGACCAGGCACATATATGCATCGATCCAAGTTTCCATACCTAGTCAGCACATCTAGATGAACACCAGATTCATAGCAGTTAATTCAACGGTGGTAATACATAAAAGAACGATTTTGTATAAGGATATAGTACAGGAAAAGAGAATTAGTTCGTAGAAAGAAAGACATAAAGAGATTTCAACCTCATGTTGCACGGTAGGTAATTTTATCAATTTTAGGCACCTTAAAGAGTAAATATTGCCAGTCTTTACTTAGTTGATTGAAACATACACTGTGAGTGCATGAATGTATAATTCCGGTGACGTGGCTGAAATGCAGGATGGAAACAGCTACATTTAACACCCGAAATTCGGGTTACTAGACACCACGGTATCATTAACGGCAAAGTAGGCGTGATTCATTCATAAATGTTAATAGACGAGTTCCACAAAACTAGAAGCATCGCCCTCAACGTCCGTGTCAAAGCGTACTGGAAGTGCGTTAGCTTCTGAGTAAGTCTCATTTGTAATTAGATTAGAGTTAATACTTGAGATTGAAAAATCACATGCTGCTCTGTAGAGCATATTAAGAATATCAGACTTCAATGCGAACATTATTCAGCTGGTGTCTAGGTCTGTCCAGAGTGATCACCAACGGAAACTTGACACTAAGTTATTAAGTTTGCAGTCCTCTTAGTCATCTCAAGAAGAACTTGATGTCTTCAGCAAGACCACATTAGGGAAAACTTTTAAAGTCTACTGAATACATTGGAATACTTAACATTTAAAATGAACATACTGACGTGATTAGTGGATGATAATCCTTACTATGCACTTACCTTTTTACTACATGTGCTACATCGAAACTAAGCATATGTGAGTGATTTACGTCACATGTAAACGACTTCATGTGCACTTAACAACTAGTACATTCTTATTGAATAACGCATTACTTGTAACTTCTTCGTAAATGACAGTGGAACTTTAAACTTACAACGAAAATGTATGGCTAACATCTGTCTGTTATTAATCTCCTTGTAAAATGATAATTCTTGTCAATGAATTCAATCACATGCAGCATTTAAAAACAGTTGGCTGAGTCTAGGCATTTGTTTAGTAATTAAATTGAGGGCGAAAATAGGAGACAATTGAGGTAAGACGGAAATCACACAATTTAGCGCAATTCTAGGCGATATTTCAAACACAGAACAAAAAAGGAAATTTTTGCAATATTTCCTCATAGCAGAACAGATTTTTCGAAGCATTTCTTTTTATTTTCTTATGAAATTTCCCTTTTATTTCCCCCTTGCTCACCCTTATTTCCTGCTTTTCGGTTGCTTAGGTGAGCCTATGAATTCGTGTCAGAATTCACAAAGGGTTGTATTCATTCTAATTGGTTCACTCAGTGGTGTCAGTATAGTATACTTTGACCTAAAAATCTATCCTTAACAATGAACATACCAATTATATCTTCTTATGATTCGAACACTTGACACCCTTTAACAACAGGGTCAAATTTTAAGCAACGAGCCAAAGAAGGACGTCTCAAATTCCAAACCCCAATTTCGTGATTTCAAGTTTTCTAGGATGAGTTAACGAACTGTTTACTCTGCTTTTGAATAGTAAAGGAAGGTTCTTGGCCATAGGTAAACATAATTATTGCTATATTTCTCTCCAAAACAGAAGGACGAAGCAAGTTCTGATGATTCAAATGGTTGTGAACGGGATAAAAGAAGCTTTTACTTTAAAGGTTTCCAGGTCTATTGGCAGCAGATAAACGACCCCTGAGGTAGGAACTTAAGCATTTCTAGCATGCAGGTGAGACAGGCTCACCAACCCACTATCCTTATTACTGAAGGCTAATATATTTGTCTAACTCGAAGATGCCGCAAGTATTCGGAGTTTGACAACGCTTTAACCAGTAACACCTAACATGAAGCGTACCCAACAAGTAAAATCAGAAGATAGGAGCGAGGAGGTTCGAAAATATATTTGATAGGCTACCAATATATCGAGGATCGTCTGATCTAATCTGGCTAGCGATTGCAGGGGTTAGTGAGCATGGCGTTCCCACTCGTGATCTGGTGCAGATGCCTGACCGGGCACCTTCAGCTAGGTGAGTCCATTAAAACTAATGTGGTCAGCACTCAATACCGAAAACTTACAGAGCTATTTCTTTTGAAGCTTTATTACCGCTACAGATCACTACCCCCCCCCTAATGTGGTAGAGATGACCCTAAGACGTGGCCAGCCAGAAGTTTAGACTCAACGAGTCTGTCGTTGGTAAACACTCTTCTGATAGCTTGCTAGGTTTAACAGCGTCTGATCGTCTTCCCTTACTACAGGTGACCATGAAGTACAATATAGTAAAAAGGAAAAAGTACAATGAAAATTTCGATTCCTCGTAAACTTCATTGTTGTTTTCCAGACGTCCTAGGAACAAAATATGTTATTACATGTCGAAATACACTTCTACGTGCGTAAAACACAAATTGGGAAAAAAAATGGAAAATAAATTCACGCACAAGTAATAACGTAAATAAAGGATTTTCATAATATGGGTTTTTGTTTTGTTCTGTTTTGTTTTTTGAAACAAAAATATAAATATTTAAGCATATTAAAATTGGTTTTTGTTTTAAATTATATATAGTACAAAGGAAAATCGAGACGATATAAAATGTCAACCAGTATCTTACGTGCAATAATTGTTCAAATGTTCTGGAGATCATATTCTTCTTCCAGAACGCGTTGTTTCACGATTTATTTTAGATACTGCCGAAGTATCATCGTGTGTGTTTTCTGTCAATTGAGGCATTTTAAGTGTGACAGTTGTGTCGTCGGATTGCATCGTTCTTTTCCAGCCGTCCTGGAAAAGAAAAACGAAAGTGTAGGTGCATGTCGAAATACACTCGTATGTGCGTAAAACACAATGTCGGCGAAATAAAGGAAAATAAACTAATGTACACGTAGTTTCGTTAAAAAAAGATTTATAATGTTTTTTTGTTTGTTTTTTTAGAATAAAAATAAAAATATATAAGCATATTAAAATTGTCTTTTTAAAAAAATTATATATCGTAAAAAGAAAGATCGAGATAATATATAATGTCAAGTAGTGCCTTACGTGCAGTAGTCCTTTAAATGTTCTGGAAATCTTACTCTTCTTTTTCGGAGTAACATCGCGTGTGTTGGTTGTCGGTTGGGGAATTATGAGTGTAGGAGTCGTGTTGTGCGATTGTACCGAGGGAAAATCAACGTGAATAGGATTTCCTTCTAAATACGCTGCTTTTAAGCGATCGATGCTGATGCTATCGTTTGTTCCGTTCTTATCGACTATATAGAACTTAGATTGACGTTGAAGAACTTTGAAGGGTCCTTCGTATGCTGATTCGAATGGTCGTCGATGCGACTCTCGACGAACGAAAACGTGTGTACTATATCGTAAGTCAGGTTGAACGAAAACATCAGTTGATTGAGGTCGAGTGGAAGCAGGTTTAACTGAACGCATTGCGTTTGTAAGCCTGTTCGTGTAGGAGGTTAGATCCATGTTCATTGAAGAGGATAAAGGATCCACGAATTCTCCTGGAAGTCGAAGTGTCGTTCTATAAACGAGTTGAGCCGCATTGTATCCAATGTCACCTTTCACTGCATTGCGGATACATAGTAAGACGAGTGGAAGAGCGTCGGTCCACTGTGAAAGGCTTGCAGCTGATAGTGAAGCTTTTAGTTGTCGGTGAAATCGTTCTACCAACCCGTTTGCGTGTGGGTGATAGGCAGTCGTTCGGAAGCGAGTGGTTCCTAAAAGTGTGATCAGACGACGGAAAAGATCAGATTCAAACTGACGTCCGCGATCTGTAGTGATAGCTGAAGGGCAGCCGGAGTTTGCTGCCCATCGTTCGACGAAGGCGCGAGCCACTGTTTCAGCAGTGACGTCCTTGATAGGTACTGCTTCTGGCCATCGAGTGAAACGGTCTACGCAGGTTAAGAAGAAGAGTGTCCATTTGAATCTGGTAGAGGTCCTACCAAATCCAGATGAACATGGTCGAAACGAGCATCGGGAGATTTAAATGAGCCTAAGGGACATTTATTGTGTCTGATAACCTTAGATTTTTGGCAGCTTACACAAGTGCGTGCCCACTCTCTCACGTCTTTATTCATGCCAGGCCAGCAAAACCGTTCTGCTATAAGCTTGATGGTTGCACGAACGCCTGGATGAGAAAGTTTGTGCAACGCATTGAAGACATTGCGTCGATAATGTTTTGGCACGATTGGGCGATTCCTACCTGTAGATGTGTCGCACAGTAAGGTTTCGTTACCTTTTCTCATCTGTTTGATGCGTAGTTTAAGGGTTGTGGACGATAACTCGTGCTGAAGATCAGTGTCTTCTTTCTGTAGCTCGGCGAGTTTCAGAAGGTCGATTCCTTGGAAACTGTTCAAGGAAGTTATGAGAGATAAGGCGTCTGCAACTACATTGTTTGCTCCAGAAATATGTTGAATATCTGAAGTAAACTGCGAAATGTAGTCCAGTTGTCGAGACTCAAGGGGAGAGTACTTGTCTGAAGGAGAGCTTAACGAGAAAGTGAGCGGTTTATGGTCCATGAAAAGGGTGAATTCACGGCCTTCGATGTGGTGTTGGAAATGCCGTACAGCACAATACAAAGCTAGGAGTTCCCTACCGAATATGCTGTACCTCGACTTGGTGTCTAGCAACCGTCTGGAGAATTTCTCAAGAATGTCAAGTTTCTCCCTGAAGAACTTACAGAAAGTCACTTTTACCAGCTCAGCTGGTAGCGAATTTCAGAGCTTGGATACCAATAAAACGTTGTACACATGACTTCAGTAGGGTTTGTTAGGTTTTACCTCTAGTTTTCTTATATAATTTTTAAGGTTTGAGTCAGAACTGAACTTGACTAAGTATTTTGGAGGGTCGCCAGACGAGTTTGGAGTACTGTAGGTCTATAAAAGGTTACCTGTAAAGTGCTCATACTTTATCAAGCAACTATTCAGTGGTTTAAATTCCTCTTCATAAGTTGTGGCCCTGGATTCCAGAACTGATTTCGTAGATGATCTTTGTATATGTTCAGGAGTATTCTTATCAACTGATAGATATTTTAATGGTAAGGAAATCTCCACTGCCTCGCGTAAGCTGTCAAAGTCTGGTTTTATCAGACGAACAATGTTTCTCTCACTCTCTTTCCGGTCACGTTCATTATGATTTAATAGGACCTTTACAATAATCAATTGCATACACTTATTCCTTGGCATGTACTGACGATTTCACGGAGTGATCAGATTCCATATGAACGTTTCAGCTGTCTATCCACACTCTTAGACATCAGAATATTCCAGAGAACCTGCCTACTACCTATGAACCAACGGGCTGGCAGGATGATTTCGCTAACAGTTGATAGCTTCACTTTCAGCTGCAAACGTATCATAATCAACTGGTAGCTCTTCCACCCACACTACCCGAAATTCTCATTGTAATAGAACATGACTTTAAATGCATTGTAGCCGAACTTATTTGAGGCACGACAAATAGACTTTCCAGAAAGTTTGTATATCGTTCACCTTCTTCAGTGAATACGGATCTGAACTTACCTTGTTATTTGTTTGTCACAGCCTAAGCCCGACTTGCACAATCATCGAATTGATCGCTATATATGTGATGAACCCGATTTACAGAGTAAAGAAATAAATGCTTCCGTGGCCTTTCACTTGCAGTAGCATGAGAGATGTGACGACATTTCAAGTTTAACGAATAATTTGCATTTTGATAGTTGAGTTCGTGAGACCACCTAAGCTACAACACCACTGAAAACCTGGAAGAACTGGATGACCGTGTATGTGCACTGCTGAGAAGCCCCACACCAGGACAAAACAGCAGTTCAGTACATCCAGGTTTTCAGTGGTGGTCTAGCTTAGATCGACTGATGAATCCAACTACAAAACTACTACAATTTCTATAAACCTCCATTCTGAGGGTAATTTGCACTCGATGACACTGGTGATTTGACTGATAAACTATTGATACTAACGAGGCAATCCACCAAAATTCACAATGTATATTCTGACCAAATGAAGAATCCTCAAAGTTATGCGCAGAGCACTCTTTACATTACACAGACATATATCTTAGAGAACAACGGGCGATTTTTCCAAATCTGTATTACAAGCAGTCATAAATTCTGGATTTCCTTTAATCTCATCTAGACCATCTTTCACGCCTTAAACTTTATACTCTAATCATTCTAACTAAATTTCAACTAGAATGTCTGATACCTTAATTCTATCCCTAAGTCTAAGAACTTTTTCAACACTTTTCATTAGCGAAATTCGTTTTGTCTCAAAATTTGCATTAATGAATCAAATGGAGACTGAACTATTAATGCTCATGATACCGTGTCATTCATAAAAACGGGCATTAAAGAAAGCGACAACAGCTTTGATAAAATGCATATCCGAATCCATGTCCTTTTTCAACTTATTTCTTTGAGATTTTATCGAGTATTTATGGTTCATTCTAAGGT